CGCGTGTATGCATAACAATAGATGACTTAAGTGGGTCAAAACCAGACATGAGACAAATGTCCTATACATAAAAGGTCTAATTGAGTCACATGATGTATGCCGCTTTTGTCATTATAATATATCAGATTCTTGGCTCCTTCGGGTACCTGACACAGTTTAAGTAATCCAATAGAAACAACAAAAGACCCCAAGTAATACAATAGAACGAAGTTAACAAAGGAAACAATAGGTTTGCGGTACATGAAGAAGGATCGAACCAGATTCAGGATGGTCCAAAAACTGTATTCATGGCACTGAAATGGTTGCAAAAGAGGCGTTATATTACTGAGTGATTCAAAACTTAAGGAAAATATGTATATCAAAATGTACTAGGTAAGAGTGCAAACGTTTTTGGGAATTACACATTCTGATGGAAAATGGTTGCTACAAAGGCATTCATTCCCAGATCAAATATTTCATGTGATTTTTCAAAATCTTCATAGTCGAAAGATATTAAAAAATATACCAAACAAGAGATAAGCGGCTCTCTCGAACCCATGGCACTCAAATTAATAAACCTGTCCAACTACTATTCCATCAAAAAAAATTTATTATCTCAATGTCACAAATAATACTGACAAGGTCAATGTCATTCACGCTATTATTAAGCCCAATACGTCATTAGTCGGGGCCTTGTTCATCACAACGGTGCCACCACGACGAGTACGTGTGTTAATGGTTTCTTGTCTTGTGTAATCGAGTTCATTGTTGTGAACGTTAAGATAAATAGACAAATAGATATATCTCTGAAGCGAGGAATTTGTATAAAGGCACGTTTCTTTCAAGTAAGAAGTGAAAAAACCTTTTCGGAACATTGATGCAGTTTTTATAAAAAACCTCCACTTAGTACATCTGTTTTACCACGAGCTAGCACGAAAACGTTTTTTGACGTTGTTTTCGTTGTTCTCTTAGTTTCTAGAATGATCACACACTATCTCGTGACTACAATGCTGCTATCCCCGCCGATCACGTGTTCTGTACCTGCCCCATTGTGTAGCGTAGTGACCCTGTACCTTACCCTGTGTTGTTTTTTTTTTCTTTTTTGCGAACTGCCGTCGAACAGCGTTAAAACCCAACGTCTACCCATCTTACCCTTAACATTTAGAAAATGGGTGAATTTTAGAATATGATGCAAACTACTGAGTTTAAATACATTTGAGCTGGTATTTATACACGATGCTTTAATCGAAGGAATGTAGCCCGACTTTCTTCATTATCAGGTCGCGTGTTCACGCAACGGGCGCGGTTCTCACGCAAACCTCAAGGACTTTGAAATACCGAATCAACTCGTGACATAACGTCGATCAATCCCGAATCACCATGCTCATTTTGCTTCAATTTTTTTTTCCAAATATTTATTTTCTCACAATTTCATTTTTCTCAGGTTGAGTTATAATAAAGAAATGAAGCGAGTGGGAACGTTGTCAAACTATCACAGGAAGGACTTGCGTCCTTTTATTTTCCTTCGACATTGGAAACGCAAACTCCATTTTGCAAAGTTCCCCGTTCACATGCTGGGCAACTGGATTCCTCGGGTTCTTTCACAGTGGTATTGTTCGGGACCTTTCTGTGGCTTGGATCAAATTGCAATCGAAAACCAAAAGGGTAAGGTTGCGTAATCATTCGTCGTCATCCCTCCTTACAGACCTACTGAACAACAACTACACACACATCCATTCCCATCCACTCACATTCTACCCATCAGCCCCTGCGTTCCTTATTCTCTCAAAATCACTTATTTCCGGTTTTCCCTTCGCTACAACGACCCCCTTCCTCCTCAAAAAGAAATATTTTTGTTTGGAAACAGATAGTCGACTTGGGTTTTATGCCCCTTTTGGTGCAAGAGGGAAAAAATAAAAAATGGATTGGTGAGATTAACATTCATCATCCAATTATTTAAATTCAGCTGTTCATTCATTTATTCATCCACGATTTGAAAACCATTTCGCTCAATCGTCGTAATTGATTCACGGCAGATTAAAGTTTCAAATCCTTCCATGCTGTTCTCATCACGAAACTTTCTTTTTTAGGGAATGTTTTAAATGTGTTTCGTCGGCTAGATGCCAGGTACACGTGGTTACCCTCCATAAAGAAACTGATGACACAAAACAAACGCTTTTTTGTGGTTTATGTTCCCGACGCATGCGCAAACCTATTTTCGGTCGTTGTAAAAGGAGCCCTTGCACTAGTATACAGCGGACAAGGCGTATGTTCAACTGTTACTAAGGTAAGAACTAAATCGTACTAACCATCCCCTGTGAGTTGAGCTGTTAAATTGATCTGACCTCACATTTTTTAAAGAGACTGTATGAGGGGGCTCAGTTAGTTGCTTCAATACCGGTGTGTGTTAGCGGTACCCTGGCCTAGGTGAGCCACAGACAGAGTAAAGGCTGTTTCCTGGTAGCAGGATCAATCAAATTTGATTGGTCTAAACTCAATCATAGTCGATGGTTTTCAATCTTGCGAACCAAATAAAAATATTCAAGATCCAAGAAAACATAGCAAAAAAGTAGTCACACAACATGTAGAGATTCCTCTAACATAATTATGGTCCCTATTGGCTATTCTTTTTATTACCCAAGGAGTACTCAGCGCACCATCCCTGGTTAATAGCAAAGGTGCCTATCGCGGCATAGGCCTTCTAAGTACAAGGTGCACTTGGTTCTAGCTTGGTTACGAACATGGCGTCCTATAAAAAATAGCAGTAGAATAGCAAATGCTTTGACCTCGTGGTTTTGTTGAATTACCCCTTGACCGTATTCTTCGCACCCACAAGAGATGCATAAAGCCGGGGTTTTGTGCCTGGGCCCGGTTGTACGAAGTGTGGATAGCACTATCCGATGGATAAATCCTTGTCCAGTGGATAACACGATGCTGTTATCCAATAAATCTTTCCACTGGATAAGATTTATCCGTGGGATAGCACTATCCACCCTTCGTACAACCTGGCCCTGGTACCAACTCATAATCGATTTATAGACTGTAGAGCTTGTAGGATGTTTATTTTTTAGGCATCACGAGGTCCATTGTTTAACGATAGAAGTGAACATGTGTAATTCCAGCGGCGGAGGCAAAGGTTTTACCAGGAATGTGAGGAAAAAGGGGTGGCTTACTGAAGATAATACTGAGAAATTTAAGCAACCTACCCATGGATCCGCCCCTGAATTCTAATGACGCGGGTGAGCGCAAGTATTCAGCTGTGGTCAAAGGAAGTACACCCCTCTTTCGAGAAAAAATATCAAATGGAAAAAAGATTGTCTAGGTTCATTTGAGTGTATTATCATTTGTAGATCAAGAACGCGCAAAGTAACGGGGCACTTGGGGTCGTTGTCTACTCAAAGCCAGGCAATTACCTTGAAGAACTGAATTGCCATCAAAATGAATGCGAAACTGACCTGACTATTCCCGCCACTATAATCCACAACGAGGATGGGTTTCGCTTGAGAGAGGCTCCAGTAGGAAGCATTTATGCTCGACTCCAGACCACTCCATCGGACATGTTYACATTTGGCGTAGATGACGAGGGTCGAGCTCGAAAGACAAGTTGGTCCTTGTATCCCAGCATGCGCTTCTTGGCGTATCATGCGCAGTGGTAAGTTGAAATGTCCTTAATATTTAGAGGGTCATCTATATGCTCCCTATACGCTATTCTTTTTATTAACTACGGTAACTAAGTACTCAGGCGAGGGATGGGATGCTATACGATTTGAGCGCAACATCCTCTGCTCACTAGCAAAGGTGCCATTGCGTAGGCCTTCTGAGTACGACAAACCTTGAAGGTACACTTTGGTCTAGCTTGGCTACAAACGTGTTCTCTGTTAACCGCTTTTATTACAAGTATATCTTAAAAAAGTAGGATACCGTTCCGAACAATTTTAATCGCGCCACGACCCCTCCAATGGATCCAATGCGCGTAGTGGGCAGAGAACCGAGACGCGAACGTGCGTACTATAGACGAATGTTGCAACTGATGCCTTCTATTGTTTTGTTCTTCTTTAAAGGTTTAATTACGTGACAGATGCCATGAGGAATGAGACAGGAGATGCCAGGCTGATATCCATCTTTAAAGACCAATTGATTCAGAGTTCAGAAGGCATCACAAAGGATATTAGTCTACCTGACTATAGAGGTACTTCAAACTCGATATATCAGGCAGATAAATTCTCTTCTCTGGAGAGAAAGTTTGTAAACCAAAGAGGAGGAATGTAATGCGGAGAAGAAGAATGAGAAGAACTGTACGAACTATTTGTAAAAGAGTCTTGATCCCAGTCCTATCTCAGTGAAAGATTTCATGAGCCTCCTCAAAAACTTTAAAAAATCTTAGAAAGTAGAAAGTAATGATCCTCCAAATAAGTTTTTAAAAGAGCGTTTTGACATGACGTCACAGCGGCCATGTTGGTGTACCAAAGCAATACATTTTCTATCCTCCGAGAATTGAACTCTGTTGAAAGTTTCTATTGTTTTGTACACCATTATGAAAACGCTCCATACTTAACTGCTACATCGAATCCCTCTTCAGAATTTCTGTTATACCAAAACGTAGAAGTGGACATGTCACTTACGTGTCCAAAGACTGGACCCGATGCATGTACCCACTGGGATCACGTGATCAAACTACTTGTCAGCTGCGATGCAAGTATGAAACCTGGGCACGAGTTAGCGAGGTGGATCATGGCTTATGGGAGGTAAGTACATAGGATCATGTACGTGACAGGGTAGATTCAACAAAGAAAGGATAAGAATATAGTGACAAAGACTTTGATTGGGCTACCTGTGTTTTGTCTTTCTTGAGAAAAACATTCTTACATATATGATCGCAAAAGGGAGACCGTAGCCACAATCCTTTATAACGTATCATGATAGGTGATATAGATCTCCGGTTTGGATTTCAATGTATAGTTTTACTCTGATTTTCAGGCGCAGTAGTTCGTGGATAACTCCAGTCAGAGCAGTGTTACCGTTACTCAAAGCCAACTCCACAACAACAAACAAATGTTCTTTCACTGTAATAACTGAGGCGTCTGTTATGCCATGGATTATAACTGTGAACATCAGGATGTCAGAAAAGATCAAACGTAAGCTTACTTCATAGAGCGACTCATAGAGTACATTGAATACATGTCTTAACGTTAACTAATGACATGAAAAAATACATGCGGAGCTGAGGGTGTCGCCGCGCGCGTTTCTTCCCTTGGATCGGGTGTTGAGAGCAAATGCTTCTAATGTTCGTAATGTGTGCCATCAGTGTTGCTGCTGCATTGTTGTTGATAATGTTCTTATTTGCTTATGATGGTTGTTACAAACTGTAAGTTGTTGCTATGATGTTAGTTGTTGCTGTGATGTTAGTTGTTGCTATGATGTTAGTTGTTGCTATGATGTTAGTTGTTGCTATGATGTTAGTTGTTGCTATGATGTTAGTCGTTGCTATGATGTTCGTTGTTGCTGTTGTTGTTTATCGTTGCTGCTGCTACTTTTTGTTGATGTTGTTATATTTTGCTATTACAAAATCTGCCATCGTAACCTATAGGGATGTTTAAACTTTAGCATCTTTTTAAATATCTCTTCAGCAAATAGGAACTTCACGACCTGGCGGCAGATCGAAAAGAACTTGGTTCCTGTTGAAGTCGTTGATCTTTTCACTGGATGCTTTTTCGACGAGAACTGCAACAAGAAATACGCTACACCAAAGTTCTTTAAAGTTCCTAAAAATATAGCGCGCGTCAAACTCGTGGCTACAATAACTGGTCATGGACGTGATAACAACAACTGCGCAAGAGCATGTCTGACGACGCATCGCTTTGTCATCAACAACATCAGGAACTCCACGCAAACGAGAGTCTTAAAAAACACTGGTTCAACACCGGGTTGCGAAAGTGATTTTTCAGATCCCAACAATCAAACTCATACCCAGAAGATGTGGCTCCGTGGAAGGCAGCCGTGGTGTGATGGGCAAGAAGTCGTCCCATGGGAGGTAGACGTCACAAATTTTGTCAGGTTTGGAGGAGCCTCGAATTTGATTGAGTATCGTGCTTTGTACAATGGCACTGATCCCAGACCGACCCAGGATCCTGGAACTATCGTTATGTCTAGTTATCTGGTGTATTACGTCTATGAAGATTTCGTCTGAGTATATATGAATAATATTATCAAATGCGGTAGACAACGAACAGTGTAAAGCAAGCAGGAAGGTTGCCGCAGTGCTTCGTGGGACTATGAGTAGAAGGGGAGGTATAGAATAAAGGCTAGGCAATTTACAAGTACAGTCGAATCTCTATTAAGCGGCCACCTTGTCAAGTGTCCGCTAAATAAAGGTTGGTCGCTCAATAGAGGTTATGTCAGTTGGGATAAGTACTTAAATTGGTCTTCGTATGACTGGTTACTAAAGCAGATTTTGTAACTGTTAGGTGGTGCACTTCGGTAAAAAAGGATACACATACTTCCCCTCCTACCACGCCCATGCCCCCCCATAACCCTAACCTTTTTCAATAACCATATGCTCTCTATCTAGATGACCCTGCATTCTCCTATCCACTCTGCTAAGTTACCAGTCATACGAAGACCACATATTTGCTTGGTGCTGGTTCACCTCTTAAGGCAAAAGACCGAGATGGTAGTCTTCACGTACAGCAAATAAGTATGCACATCTTTTAGAGAAAGAAAAAACACTTTTTAAAAAACATGATATTTCGATGAATATGGCTTGCAAGCCAAATGCATGACTGATAACCAGCACAAGATCATACCACCAATACTGAAGAGTGCTTATAATAAGATATTTACATGAAAGACATTTAAGTTATAATCTACGCTCATTGTGCATGGGAGCTTAGTGTCGGGGAATTTTAAAAAGAAAATATACTGTCATTAAAACCAAGCTTGCCTTTGCGTGACTGGTGTTCGTTTTTATAAACCTCTTGCATGTGACGCCAAATGGGCTCAATTTGGAGGATAAAACAAAAGAATTTCAATCCCCTGAATTGAGCTGCATTCCGAAGTGCTGCAAGGAAAAATATACTATATCGTATACTCGATAAAATGCGTTTGGCAAATTTCTTTTTTTGGATAGTTATGTTCTTCACTGGAAGGTGCGTTTTTATGACAAATTTATGTGTGAGGGTAATCTGGGGTAAGCTAGAAGTACCATATGGTTTACATCAGCTGGCCTTCATATTCTATATATCAGGAAATACGTCCTTGCGTTGGCTTCTGGGCTTCCTGTGGTTTTTTAAAAACAGTAACCAGGCCTTATTTCTTAGAGCCGTCCATTTTCCCGAAATATAAACACAAAAATATTCCCTGCGAATCAATATCATAAGCTGATACTTTTTCCAGTTAATTTTTTCTACATCAATTTTATCTCCTTGTTGATTTTTGTCGTTTTTTTGCTGTGGTTTCAAGTATTTTCAACGGCAAAAAGGGACTGGTACCCATGATGCATTTGGGTGCATGACGTCACAGGGAGCCGCCATATTTCTCTGCAAGGGAAATGAAGGCACGAAACAAAAAAACTTAAAGTTTCAAGAAATTCGTCTAGTTCTACTTTTTTCTTTAGGTTAATTTGCTATTCCTTTTAATCATTTGATAGCTTGGAATATGGTCTTTTCAATGGTAGGGACTTCTGTCTGATGCAGAGCTGTTCAGCGTGGAAGAAAGACGTTGTTGGTGGGCAGTTGTGTTAGTGAGTTTAGTTTTGACTCTAAACAACATCTCATCTTTTCGTGATCTTTTCAAACTTCTCCGTGGATATGAGAGCTTCCTTAATGACTTCACTCTAAGGACTTCTGTGTTGGACCAAACCTTGTGGCTTTGACTTACAAGACGTCCAGTTGTTGAGAACAACCAAGGTTTCTCTATTTCAAACGATTCTTACGTGAACTCGTCAAGAAAACATTTCTATTCATTCAAAGATTTGGAGGATTTCATTGAACTTTATCCTCATTACTTCCAACAAACCATGGCTACTAGATCACAGAATCCTCACAGTCTGAGGCAAATTAATTTGGAAGAGATATGGGATGACCTAAAGGAAGGCATACAACATGTTTATGAACAGCAAAGTATGTCAAGACCGCGATATATAGAACTGTACACGTATCTTTTTTACATATACTTTAAATCATTATTAGAGTTTTATTACATTAATTGGCGGCTAGACTCTCTTTATTATACCTGGGGTATATTATATTCCACGGTCTCCACATATAATATTATATTCTAAATACTTTCAAGCTATGTTAAGTGAATGTCTTGACCTATCAACACTACTTAGCATAGCTATTCATGAAATTTATATTTGTCTACTAATCTTGATAATTATGAATTTATATTATGTCAAACCTAAATTTTATTTTTCCATATTCTAGTAACCGTTTTGCCCCCCACATTATTATAGCCCATTGTGACAATATTTTCTTATAATATTGAAGGCATTTAGGCCATGATTGACTTGTGACGATTTTTCTATATCATTTGTTAAAGTTAATGCTATTATTTTTATTCGTGATGTCGTTATGGATGAAGGTGATAAGCTACTGCCATGATAAAAAAGTTTTAACCAACTGTTTTATTCATTTCTAACCAGAAGTGTTTGAGGATGAAATGTTTGGTTAAAATGTTTTTGCCTATCAAATATGGTACATTTATTGGTTAAGATTTTTTGAACCTAAAATACATAAAACTAGCAAGTAAGCTAGTTTGATATGCATCAGGTTATGGAGAAAAGGAAAGTTTATGTTATACACTTGATAAAGGTTCAAAATGTTAGTCATGTGATTTTTCTTGATTAACCTTGACTTTCTTTTGAAGGTCAACTCAATTCATTCTAAAAGAGTCCAAGTCATAGTCATATTATTTCCTTTTAATGTTAGAGCTTGATGTTTGTTATATTTATTGTCAAACCTTGACACACATCCAGACATGTTTATAATTATTGTACTAGTGTTCATCAGCAGTCACAGTCCCGTGTCTCCAAACACAAAAAGGTTCCAAATCAAGGAGGTTAGTTATTGATATTGTTTGAATGCTGAGATTTTTCTCCATACCATCTTTAACAAAACTAGTGATTATAACTCTTAAACTCTTAGTTTTACAAGGGTGGCTCCAGGAAGTTTTGAGATGGGGGGATTGAAAATGTATACCATACTGAGCAAAACCTGTTGGATGTATTACTACCACTCACTTCTATCCTTCCCTCTACATTTTTTTTCTACAAAAATATAAATTTTAATTCAAGTGTGTGAAAAACTAAATTATAGGATAAAAAATCAATTAAACCTCAGGTATAACAGGGGGTTCTAAACTATATTATAAATTCTAAACCATAGTTATAAACTATAATATATTATATTATAGCCTCAAATCTCATTTCATCAACCACATGATTGACCGTAAGAGCTGGCCTCACAACAACATAAGCCTCTCAGCTTATACATCTTTTCTCATGCACTGGCAGGGCTTAAAATAACGGCCAGACTTTGGACAATGTCAAATCTTTGCCTTGCCAATCATTTTGTCCAGTAATATTAGGCCAGATACGAGATATGACCAAAGTAAAACTAATTTTGGGCTGGTCATCACGACTGGCCAGCTGTTATCTTAAGCCTCACACTGGTATATTTGGGATGATTAATACAGAGAAAATGGCAATCATTAGCATCACAAAGTTTGTTGAAACTGATATAGGAAAAATATTAACATTAAAACCCAACTTTCTTCCCTTAGGAGCTCAATTTGTAGGCCATGAACTCTACAAGACATTGAGAGAATTTCTGAAATCATATCTAGTAAAACTACAGAAGGTAAAAAATTATATTGATATAGGTCACTGCTTGGTGTTTACTGTCAATATAATGACCTATTTCATAATTAGTGCTATAATCATATTTAGATATTGTAAAGCCTAGCAAGACAATGACTTACTGTATGTAAAGGGTCAGTCTGTGTTTCTATGTAGAAAGTTGGTCTATGAAGATTACACAAATTATAATAAAAATGTTATTGATTTTATTAAATATCAAAAATATCAAAATAGTTCAGAAATTTAGGATTTGTGGAAAAATATAATTTTACCATAATATGGATAAAAATTCTTTCACTATTGTGATTCAAATTGAGCTGCAATCAAATTACTTCTGATTTGTAAAGCCTGGTTCAATCCAGATTCAATCGAAGGTTCAATCCAGTGTTGTAATCGGAATCAGAAGCAACTTATTCAGACTCAGTAGTGTACTACTGCACATGAATAGTGCTTGTCTTTTTTCACACCCAAGTGATAAATGGGATACTGAGTTTGCATATGTTACTTACAGTTTCAATAATTGAATAATTACTATGATGCTAGTATGAATCAGGCTTTACAGCTTCAACAAATCAATGTACTTAATTAATTTATTCTGTGTGTTCTGACAGAATGGTGCTGATTTAATGGATGAATCAGTCCTAAAGTTTTATTCCAGTCAGTGGGAAGACTATAGATTCTCAAGCAAAGTACTTAATGGAGTGTGTGCATATCTTAATCGGCATTGGGTTAGAAGAGAATGTGACGAGGGCAGAAAAGGAATTTATGAAATATATTCAGTAAGTTGGATGATAAAAATCTTAGTCACTGAGATTTTGACACTTTAATTTTTCTTCCAAAAATATATGAAAACAATTTACAAATATATTATTCAATAAAATCACAAAGTTTAAGTGACTTTGAATTTTTTTTTTTTTTTTTGCAAAATCACAAAATTAAAATGTTCTTGGACATTATGAAATTAATGTGTTGTGATTTCATGAAATAAGGTAGCTCAAAGCAATATAATTTAAGTCTACACATTCCATATGACCTGAATTTAACATGTACCTCATCCTACTCCCATGATGATAGTGGTTTTGGCTTCTCTTCCCTCCTGTTTACTTGTATTGCAACAGCCGCAGATTGAAATGTATGTGAATGTGTAATATCACTATTTTTTCTTGTGTTCCAGCTTGCCCTAGTAACTTGGAGAGAGTTCCTTTTTAAACCATTGAATAAACAGGTAAGGAACTTTGTTATACAGTCAGTTTTTACCCATTACAAACCAGAGAAAAATCCCCACCAAAAAGAATACTAACTAAGAAATATGTTTTTCACCAGGTGACAAATGCTGTTCTGCGATTAATTGAAAGAGAAAGAAATGGAGAGACCATCAACACTAGATTAGTTAGTGGAGTTATTCAGTGTTATGGTATGTAAATTATTAGCCCATTAGAATTGTTAACCAACACTATTTCAAACTCATATTGGTATTTATAAAATATCTAAAATAATATGTGTACTCATTAGCTGGCTTCCACATTTATATTACACAAAAATGAAAAATGATAACAAATAATTATAAAGTGGCGACTTGTTCCTAAACTTTGATTGTCTTGTGCCCAAAAGCCTGCCCCCCCCTCCCCACCCTCCAAAAAAACTTTTCAAATTTTATCAATACCCCCGTACCCTGAAACCACATCTGAGCTGATCAAAGTCAGGTCACAGATAACTCACAGATTAAATTGAAATGTACAGTAGTTTGTTAAGTTTTTTGGAGGGAGAAAAAATATACATTATAATAACTTTTTTACTCTTATTATATTGTTTAATATTGTGGATGGTGTATAAGAAAATTTAATGAAACTATAATTATTGTATTGTTGATTGCAGTTGAGCTTGGATTAAATGAAGATGACAGCACAACAAAAGGACCAACACTCAGTGTATACAAGAGTTCTTTTGAGTCTGTGTTCTTGGAGGATACTGAACGGTTCTATACTGCAGAGAGTATGGAGTTCCTGCGTGAGAATCCTATGACAGAGTACATGAAGAGGGTAAGCAGAGAGTCTTTGCAAGGATTTTATGGAGGTGTTTGGCAAACATTTTAAATTTATGGACATTATTGCTTTGCAAATTGATTCTGAGAACTCTGTAGTCTTTTCATAATCAATGGTTGCTTTTGGTCTTTACTGCTTAAATATGACCCCAAAAATGTGTGGATCGTGAAAAAGAAAGCAAACAAAACTTCCATTATGTGGACCACAATATTCATAATCAGTCTAATTGGACATATGAAAAATCTTATCTAACAAATTTTGTTGTTTTAGGCTGAAGCAAGACTGCTTGAAGAACAGAGAAGAGTTCAATCTTATCTTCATGAGAGTACACAAGATGAGGTATTGTTAAATTTGATTCCCCTTTGTTTATGAATGACTCATCAATAACATTCACCTGTTTTCATACATCGGTTCACTGGTCAAACACAAAGCATTCAGTTGAGGTTGCAAGGTTCAAATTTGAATATTCCTTTGAAAGTACCTTGGAACCTTGCTTGAGTGCTATGTGTTTGACCAGTGAACCAATGTATGGAAAATGTAGAATACTCATTCCAAATTTCTCTTAATAAATTGGGTGCCCTGTGGTTCTAATAAACACAGGTAATCCAAATTAAAGCAGGCAAAACATTTGTGTTTATGATTGAAACATCTTTAAACACATTGCCTCATTATTCATGCATTGGTTGATTGGAGGTGCAACACAATTGGAAGTAATTACTGTAGTTATATTATTATTATTCTCTTGAGGATAGAAGACAACTTCAAGTAATTATTTGTAATGTTACATTACTCATTTGATACTTTACAGTACATGTACCGTTTGTTTGTCTTAATTTGTGTCATAACTGTTTCTTTTTCTTTCTGCAGCTTGCAAGAAAGTGTGAACAAGTTCTGATTGAAAAGCACTTAGATATTTTTTATTCAGAATTTCAGAATTTGTTGAACGATGATAAAGATGAAGGTATGTTAATGATACATGCCATAATTGGATGATCCTGAACAGTGGGAAGCCATTTCAGTGTTTTTTTACAGCATATTTCATTTACTGTGGTTTTCCATATTCTGCAAACTCAGTAGTTGGATGATGAAAATTGATTTTTTGCTGTCGGTACCTTTTATATTATTGACTTGTAGCAGTAAAAAACCAATTTACAACAAGCCGTTGAAATGTCAGAGTTTGCAGAAAATCATAAACCACAATGTGTTATTACCATACATTTCTCACTCATACAGCAAACTACTCTGTTAAATGTATAAGAAAAGAATACAAGATTTTGATAATATCTTTGATATTTTTCATAGATCTTGGTCGCATGTACATGCTGGTATCAAGAATACCAGATGGTCTTGTTCAGCTGCGGAACCTCCTTGAGAATCATATATGTTACCAAGGATTAAATGCCTTAGAAAAATGTTGTGAACAGGCATTCAATGTAAGTCATTAGAAAACTGCTGGAATATCATGCAGAGCTAAACAAATTTATGTCAAACATCCTATTGTATTTTTATATTATCAGGTAAAAATATGAAAAATGATTTTATATAAAGATGCTTGACATTCTGATATTGCTTTTATCATAGTTTCTTGAGTTGTTCAACATTGTTTTTATTCTCTGTTTTAGGATCCTAAAGTGTATGTTGAGACAATACTTGAAGTGCACTATAAATATAATGCGCTAGTGCTTACAGCATTTAAAAATGATGCTGGGTTTGTTGCTGCCTTAGACAAGGTAAAAATCATTCCAATATTCAGATTAGTGTTGGATTTAATACTGACAACAAAGCTACTGGTCAAGATTAGTCATACCTTGTTTCTGGCTCAACATTATGAACCAACATTACTGGTCAAAATGACCAGGAATACTGGCAAGGAAAAATTTAACTGGACAAGCTCTGATTCTGGGCAGATATCGTTTGATGTCTGGCTGTTATTTTAAGCACTGTATAACAGTAATTTGGGCCTAACTACAGTTGTAGCTAATGAAGGTTTTGTTTTGCAGGCATTTGGGAAGTTTATCAACAACAATGCTGTTACCAAACAAGCTCAAAATTCATCCAAATCCCCAGAGTTACTGGCCAGATACTGTGACTCTCTCTTGAAGAAGAGGTGTGTTCTTTGGTAGTAGATCTTTATAGGAATAATATTAAAACTCATAGTTGATTGGTAGTTGAGTGTTTCCATTCTTGTGTTCTAAAAATGATTCCAAGTATAATCTTGTGTCAATGCTCTCTCCAGCTCTAAGAATCCAGAAGAAGCAGAATTAGAAGATATTCTTAACTCTGTGGTATGTAGATCAAAGAAGAGAGCAAACTTAATGCATACATGTACACTGCCATGATATCCCAGCATTCTCATCGCACAAACAGTAGTCTCATAAAAACCTGACCACAGTTGTGCAAGACAGTGCTTTTGCAGTGCACACCACCCATGCTTCCCACTGTGACCATTCTGTGCTGCGCTACAATCCTCATACACAAGAGCTACTCTGTTCTAGGAACACACCCTATGTGAATATATTATAGAGGACCATGGCTTTTTACCTCCTTACAGATGATAGTATTCAAGTACATAGAAGATAAAGATGTCTTTCAGAAGTTCTATGCTAACATGCTTGCTAAACGCCTTGTACAGCACAACTCTGCATCAGATGATGCTGAGGCAAGCATGATCTCCAAACTAAAGGTAACTTTTTTTTTTATTTTGTTGTGTGATTAGAGCAGTTTTAGTAGGACTGTGAAAATCTTGGTTCTGTTTGCTTGGCTTGCATGACCACGATGTTTTCTATGATTAATTGGTTGACTTTCCTCTTTTTAGTATTAGGTGTGTATGGTAGTTATAACATTAAATATTGAGTATGCTCTTCAAATTGTTTATACTTTTCATCTTGCAGCAAGCATGTGGTTTTGAGTACACATCCAAGCTGCAGCGTATGTTCCAGGATATTGGTGTCAGCAAGGATCTTAATGATAAGTTTAAGGCTCATCTGTCTAATACTGGACCATTAGACTGTAAGTAAAAACAATCAACTCCTGCTTTCTTATACTCCAAGAATCTGTTTTATTGTACTATATATAATAATTTATGAGATTTCTTTTGGTCATGTTTAGTGGATTTTAGCATCCAAGTCCTCAGTTCTGGTTCCTGGCCTTTCCAACAATCTGCCCCTTTCTCTCTTCCTGCTGAGGTAAGACCCACTCCTAAAATATCAAAATCAAATCACTAATTCAATGAAAACTGTCACAATTTTCTATGTCATTTGTCAACCAAGATGCACTCAATGATGCAATTAGTATTCATTCATTTTTTTTTTCTCTTTTCCCCAATTTCTTTTGATATTTGGTTTGTAGATGGAAAAAAGCTACCAGCGGTTTACCACATTTTACAGCAGTCAACATAGTGGTCGTAAACTGTACTGGTTATATCACAAGTCTAAGGTGAATAAATGTTTTCAATCATTCCCATTAAAGAATAAATAACAAAAGACACTGTGGCCATGTTAGATTATATAACAAAAGAAACCGAATGACAAATCTTTCGTTAAACCCATCCATAATGGGGGCTGTGAAAATCATCAATAAATGTTTTATCCCAAATCACACCTTGCATCAATTAGGTTTTCTACTAGAAAAATATACTCAAATATATTTGAATTGACCAAATATTCTGACCGATTTGGCTCATTGAAAGATCACTGCTTTAGGGATATATTTATATATATTCTTATATTTATTTGTCAGGGATTTGATTTACTGTTATAGATGCCTTGTTTTTTTAATACACCTATTCATGGAGAAATGTGTATTGGAATAAACTTTCTTTTTCCAGGCTTCAACAGAGTGTTTTTTTGTTAGTACGTTCATTCAAAATTTAATGTAGACACATAGATATATGATAGCTACAAACAGTAGATATATCAGAAGATATTTGTATAGTTTGTTCGTTAGCTGATAATCAGTCTCACATACCTCTCACATTGTATTGTCTACATTCTTAATAAAGCATTAAGACAACACTTGCTTTACAATTTTTTAGGGTGAACTGGTTACCAACTGCTTTAAAAACCGCTACACTCTTCAGGTAAGTTAAGCAAAATTACCGTGATGCATTCTAATCATCCCTGTAGCATCACTGTCATGAAGACAGTAAGATTAGTAGAACTAGGTACTAAGGATTTTGTTTGTTCGTATGTAAACTAAAAAAAGTTTTAATGCTTTTATTTATATCTTAGAGCAGAGAAGTGCAATTTTAGGGGACTGATTCGTTTTTAAAAGACAGAACCTTGTTACTCTGAATATTAATGCTCATTTCAGAAAGAGCATAGGGTTAGAGGACAAGTGCGCACTCTCTTGTGATTTTAAAACCTACGACTGGTGGCACACAGCCTTTGGGACCCAGGCTAGAATTGTTAAGATATAGCAACTTGTAAGGGGGGAGTGGAGGGTGAACATCTCCTATGAAGAATGTAATACGTTGTCAACGTCATAAAGCATAGTCGGGACAAGAAAGTGAATGTACACATGTACACCATAACAACCAAACACAATAGTGACTTTTCGGATTTCTGCTTCCCCCTTGGTAAAATCCTGGCTACGCCCCTGAGTTTTGACACCTTTCTCTTCCTTCCGATTGTAATGAAATGAAAGCCCTTGAGAAAAAGGTGTCTAACTATTGCTATCTCTTGTTTTGTTGTCCAGGCATCTACATATCAAATGGGTGTATTATTGATGATGAACTCAGCTGATAGCTACACAGTAGAACAGATCCAAGAACAAACACAGCTCAAAAGGGTAAGATACTACTTATTATGTACAGACTATGTTTCTATCCTAAGTAAGGAATCGGCTGCTAAGATTAAGTTCAAGTTTTTTTTATTTACACACATACATGTATATAAATATTATAGGAGATAACAACACAGGTCAATGAGCTTGTATTTACAAAAATCATTAGTAGTTGTAGAATATTATATAAGTATAAGAAAAATGCTAAGTTAGTTTGCAGTGTAAACTTTCGAGTAAACCACCATGTATCCTTAACTATGGTCAAACCTAAGAAGGGTAATCAATTGATGGGTTGCAAGCATTTCCAAGAGAGTCAAAAGACAAAAACATGGCGGCGATTGTGGTGCCGTTAACAGTGGATGCTAATGAGAAATCTTTTGTTAAATGGTACCAACATGGCCGCGATGACGTAAAGTGCAATCGAAGAATACATAAGTGAATGAATCTAGAGGAGGAACCTGTGCCTATATGCGAGAAATACTGATACTGAGTGTGAACTGATAGTGTATGTTTTAATCGTTTTGTAGGAAAATCTGCTGCCTATCTTAGGAATCTTACTGAAATCCAAGCTACTGGTAAGAAAGCTCTCTTTTGATTAGGCCTTTATTTGTTTTTACTCTTTAACCTTCTTTTCGTGATGTTTTTTTAAGTCTTGATAAAAATTTAAAAAAATTTAAAGTTAAACCTTCTGATCATGAAGATATGAACGAATGAAATATTTATGAGCTAATCTTGCAAATACTTGTATTGCTGTTTGTTGATTGCGCACATCTAGGACCATTCCATACTCATTGTTTATCCTTGTGTTTGTGACAGCTTTGCGATACTGTTGATGACGCCTCTGAGCTACAACCTGATTCCGTTTTGAAGTTGTTCTTTGCCTATAAGAAGTAAGCACAACTAAATTTGGCCACCGAAGTTGTGGTAAAATAATAGTTCTCGATTGATTTACTCTTGAGAATATGTATTTGGTTTTTGCAGCAAGAAGCTTCGTGTTAATATCAACGTCCCGATGAAGATCGAGCAGAAGAACGAACAAGAACAAACACACAAGTACATTGAAGAAGACAGGAAACTTCTAATACAGGTTATTTAATTTCTCAAAATAATAGCTTTCTTCTATGCCCGGTTGTACGAAGGGTGGATAGCGCTATCCGATGGATAAATTTATTGGATTACAGCATGGACTTATCCACTGTATAACGATTTTTCCATCTGAGCTGACTTTCCTTTTTTTCTTACCCGGTTTTATCCTTTGATAGTGTAATTTAGTTTGGGTGGTGTTATAGCCCCCTTAACCCTCAGTCCCCTACGTTCCCATGGTAACTGACTTCGTATTTGTTATATTATTTTCTAGGCCGCCATTGTTCGTATCATGAAGATGCGTAAAGCCCTCAGACACCAACCTCTGCTGGCAGAGGTGTTATCTCAACTTTCCAGCCGATTTAAACCCAGGGTACCCGTCATCAAGGTAACCATTTCCAATATTTACAACAAACATTAGTATGCTAATTTATTTTGGCATGCAAAAGAAATTTGATTGGTTGGTTTGAGTATTTGTAAATACAATCCGTATTGGGTGCCCACTAAATAATTGGTGGGAATATTTTCTAGGTGAGTCTATTTGTACTCGTATCTTCTATATATGGTTTATGAGAGGTTATGGCTCTTCTGTACTACCCCGTGTTGATGTAATTTCACCTACTAGTTTATAGAATAAGGCAATAGTCCTCTATCCTGCTTTCTGTAGTTTGATACATGAGGGATAGTCTATCCTGAAGAGTTGTGATCTTGAGGAAGAACTTGCTTTGCGTTTATCCATTAAGCCTTGAGTCACGTCATACGTAGGATGTTGTTGTGTTTTCTCGTACTTATGTTTTTAAAGAAAGGAGTAATAACTCGTAATTCTTATGGGTTTATTCGTTAGGCCTCGTAGTGGTATCTCGTAATAATGTTTGTAGTTAAATGAAGGGTAGTCAGCCCCGGTGTGTCGATAAAGGGTCTGTAACACGTGCAACGAAGTCGTGCAACTTGTCGCGCAACATTGTTGTTTTGCGCTTTGCACAAAATGTTACCAGAAGTTTGATGCTGCGCCCAAGAAATTTTTTATATGGCACAAATTAAAAAGCCATACGCTTCCAAAAGAGAATTTGCGGGATAGTAATGCCAACAAAAATGCTCTCCTCTTCGCAACGCGATAATGTTGCGCGAAGCCCGTTGAACGATTTTGTTCCCATATTAACGTACTATAAGAATCTCCCAAAAATGTCTTTACTCCCATAGTATGAGATAGATACTTGAATAGGGTTGTAGAGAAATGTTGACTGAAGTGACTTTCTTTGCTTCGAAGAAATGTATCGACATCTTGATCGAAAAGGAGTACCTTGAACGAGTAGAAGGAGAGAAGGACATGTACGCTTACTTAGCGTAAATGAAGACCTTGCACACCAATGAAGAACATCACCGACTATTAATATATATCTTGAAGAGAGATAGCCAAGAACTATCAACTTGCGAACACGTCACCAATACATAAAAGTAGAGGAGAAAATGGGAAGGGAAGTATACAAAATTATTTTGTATTGAAACTGAGTCAAACCTTTGCCATTAGACGTTCAAACCTTCATTAAAAATGCTCTGTGAATCAAAAAAATAACAGAAAACTTCAGTGTTAAAGGAGTGGAATTCAAGGGCGAATTCAGGATTTTCTTCAAGAGGGGGTTTTGCTTTCAAGGAGCATTCACCTGTAAAAGATGCCGAGCCAAAAAAAAAAAAAAAAGCAACGAACAGTACATTATGTTTCAGAAGAAATCGAAATTCTTATAGGTGTGGTTGCAACCCCCACAACCCTTCCCGGCCCTGGATCCGCCCTATGAATTCGTACAAGAAGAAGAGGACAAGGACCGGATTATTTGGTTTCATGACTTACCACGAAAATTTCAGTTGACAGTGTGGCCTTGCACACTGATTTTGGCTCTTATATTTGCCTTTCGTTTTTAACATGCCACAGAATGTGTAAAGTTGTTGTTAACATTTCTACAGACCAATAATACTAAAAAATATTAATAAAACAACTGGTTCATTGTAAGACTTGGTGGTAACTTGTCCCCAATCAACCTGAACCTTTCAACAACAAATGATGGTCTTTCTACTTTTAAAGATGTTTATTTTTTCTTACAAAAATCATGATAAATCTATATAACACAAAACTTGATGTCAAAACAATAGTTAAATACTAAAATTATTTCCAATTATGTTAATTAAGATTTTTGATTTTGAAGTAAACTGTTCATTTAAAGTTTTTTACTCATTTTTTTCAGATTCTGTGTAAAACATTGTGTAAACACCTGAAATTGTGAAAGGATCTTAATTTAGGGGTTTAACATAATAAAAAGTAGTTAATTTTGGATAAATCAAATTCTTAAACTAAACTGGAACGAAATTCTCAAATGTTTTTCAGAAAATGATATGTTTCTTATGTTGTTGATTGATATAATTTAAAATTACTAGAAATGTTTGATAGTTTTCTTTTTCCAACATGGAAAAACGACGCCAAAACGTACATTAAGGATTTCGTACATTTGAACACTCTCAACACTTAAATGGCTTTGCCACCTTCGTGTGAACTTTGTTAACAATAAACCATTCAACTGTTTTATAGGCCGATAAAATTTAACCGGTTATTTGTAGCTTCTAAACTTGGTCAACGGAAATATTTTTATAAATTAAAACGAACTGGGCGTAAATTCTCTTACCTTTGATATTAGGTTAAAAGTCAACAAGCCAAGATGACTCCACCCTTACTGCAAACCAGCCTTCTGACTTTATATTTTTAACAATAATTGTCTAAAGTGAACATTAATTTTTAACCAAAAAATGTAATTTTGAGATCAAATAGAAAAGCTTTGAACTACCTCTTAGTAAACAGAACAGCAAATATTCAATCAATCTTTGCTTGAATTCAGAAGATCTAGTGTTGTTCTCTTTGTGAGAATATTTGTAAAAGTGTCCTCTTGATTGTCGTTTGTTGTTTGCTTAGTTTTAAGTGGTCTGTCAGTTTTGAATTTCAGCCAAGTCCTTCGTACCAGGTGTGAAGAGATTGTGTAGTTCGCCACGTGCTAGGAGACCCGCCATTCTCATCAACCAAACAATCAAAAACCGCTGAAAATCATGTTCACATTAACTATGGTCAGTTAAAAATAAGGTGAAATTTCAACATGTGCTATTAAATTTTGAGGTTACCGTAAAGCTAATCAGTTCTCAAAAACAGTTGTCCTAATAACACTTTCTTTGACAATAAATTGTTCAAAGAAAAAAAGCCCTTTGAAGTGCCATTGAAAAGCGGCACTAGTAGATCGAACGTTGTTAAGTTGTCAAGATCAATCTGTTCAGATGGTTAGTCCTTAGGGCAAAGTTATTTACATGAGATTCGTATGTTTCACGAAGTGCGATGAAGCGAAACATTAATATTCTTCTTTGGTAGGTGAAGGATGACGTTTGCTGTGGACAGTAACCAATCACTCGCATCTTTCGTTCACCTTATTGACAATTCGTGTGTGAAAGCTTTGTATTTGGGATTTCTAGTGGACGAGCGGTAATGGGCTGATATTACATGAACAAAACCACCTCCTTTCCTTCTTTACAAAGACGTCATTGTTATCCTCCAATCGACTTTATTCAACTTCTTTCTTTTACATCTACACTTTACTGAATTAGAATTTAGTTGTGTCACTGTACAACAGTGGTCCCACGATGTCTCGACCATTTTCTTGTACTTCCTTGGTTCCATTGCCAATTAACGATCAACAGGCATCAAGTTGGCTTGACGGTTACCAATAAAGGCGGAGCGTATACTACCTATTTTGTAAATCTCGGATTAGCATCCATTGAGCTATGCCCAATGACATGTAACATAGTTTATTGTGTTGTTCTATATTGTTTTTAACTATATATAATATATATATGTATATTTAAATAAGTTCCGAATGAATTCAGAACGATTACAACAAACATTAGACCCAATGTGGGCGACATAGTCCGTCATAATATTATTAGAATCTTGAGAATTTTGTATCCTCGTGTGTGTGGAGTTTGGGCAACACACGTGTTTGCTTCGTATACAGCGTATATAGATAGATAGATACACGTACGTCCTTTCACACACACGAGGTGTTATTATTTCTCTGCCAATAATAGTTTACAAAAACACTTCGCATCCCCTTTCAAAGAGCTTACCTACCATTCGTGTAAACTAATATTGCAGACGGGCAAAATGTACACATTTACATGGCCAAGTTATATAGCCTCTTTTAGCTATACCCTAAGTTTGTCTCGTCTTAGATAAGGTTTATGTACAGTTTTGTCGTATTGTACATCAGATGAGTATAGTTGCGATTGGTTTGTTCATTCTTGTGCAGAGTCTCCGCGTATTTGATTCTTCGCAACTTTCTCGAAGTGCTTCGGTATCACCGTGGTGAGCTATAGATAGTGGTCTTTCAAGTCTTTCACCGTGGTTTTGAGTCCTTTTTTGACTGACCCGGAGGATTAGTCATGTTTTGTTTTTTCGTGTATCGCTTACACTTGCACGTTCGAACGACTGGTATTCTGTACCTTCGTTTTGTACCATCGTTGCAAAACACAGTCACTTTTCTCCTCTTTACGTAATCGGGAACACATCTCCATTCCCGCTTGTTTCTGCTTATTACTTTGCTGAACTCTGGGAACCACGGTAGTTCATCCATTGGTAGGCATCTTCCATCACAAATAGTATCTCGTATAGCTTTTCGACTAGTGCAAAAACCATTAGAAACGTAGCGACGTATTTTAATCCCATAACAACCCAGATTCAGGATTCCTAGAAAAACATCAATTAAAGAATTAATTGGAATCACTAAAAATCATGAGTGTTGTAAGAAGAGTTTCGTAGTAAAAGGAAGAATCTATTAGCCATGCCACGCGCCATCTATCATACACGCTACAAGCAGAACACAGTCAATCGTCAGCCATTCAAATCGCACAACAAACAATTTCGAACCACTGAAAAGGCTCCATGTGCTCGCCAGAACAACTCTCAAAAAGGGTCAGAAATCTTCTTCAGTACTCACTTGGTTCTTCGCGGGGCTGCTGCAGGGCGAACAATTGTTGTACGTCGTTTTTCCCGCCAGAAGTTGAGTTGAATGTCTCGTTGAAAGCACGAGGTATTGTTGGAGTCGAACGCTGTGGCTTTGCACGCTTACGACACAAGCCATTATCCCAACAGAGACCCAAAATAACAAGTCCTAGAAGAAGCTTCCAACTCCAACACCTTCTCCAGTGTTTCATGTTTTGTATCCGAAGGCAAACACAATCCTCAGAGATTTCTTTGCAGCGCTTCTCTTCAAAAAAGTTCCTTCAAAAAACCCCACACGTCGATGAGTAGAGCTACAAATGTCAATAAGGCGAGCATTCTGGCGCCTTTGCGCTCGCAATCAAAGTCGACCAATCGTAGCCTCGCTAGGCAACACGCACCACAAGGAAAGTAATTAGCGCCACGAGTTGAGCGCGTCCATGAAAAAAGACGTCAATTAGCAAGAAGTACAAGTCTTAACCACGGTACACCATAAAACAGTACAGCTTTTGGCCTCAACTCATGTTCAAGAGCACGAAATACACTCTGCTCTGTGTTGGTTTGAAGTAGTTTACGTAAAGTAAACAATGCCATTGAAATTCATTGACGTACAGTCTGCTTGGGGACTCGACCAATAAGAATCATAAAGGACGTAAATAAAGCTAGGAACCAGTTTGAAAAGAAAAAAATGACCTCTTAGTGACCTTGGAAAGAGTTTGAATACCTAACCAAGGCACTTTTGACAAGGAAAGTCACTTCATTACAAGTTCATTAAGTGTTTGAAAACAAGTTTTCAAACTCTTGGCAGTTTTCAAAGTATCCATCAGAAAGCCAGAGAAATTCAATTAATTTGTGTGTTACCTTAACTTTATGTATCTGATTAATTAAAAAGGGCATCTTCATTGATCTTACTATGTTTTTTGATTGCTATTAGCTTGGTTGAATGAGTTAAGGCTAATAAATTGTGCGAGTAAACTGACCGACTTGATCGGAAGCCAGCATGCTTCAACTAGCAACCAGACAACTTGAAACTGATGTTTAAAAACAAGCCGATTAGATAGTTTTATTACCGCTAGAATGTGATTTATCATCAACTCCATGCCACAAATATTGTTTACAAGTTCTTGTTTAGTCTTTGCCGTTGTTCTGTGTATTCTTTGATATTTAGTTAATCGTAATTGTATATTGATTCGTTAGAATACGACTGAATTTTGCATAATAATTTAAGAGATCGGAATGTTGGTCTGTTTCCTACTTTCATTAGTCCCAGTTCGATGGCGACAGTTTGCCTGTTATTTGGCATCCAATCTCATTTGTTTCTATTCGTTATTTGACTATTCAGTACGTTACTACCGTTTCTACTCAGCCATCTTGTCGGTGATTCATCTTGTTTCCCTTCAGTGAACCAATAAAATTATCACACAGAAAACATTGTTCCGGGTGCCTTAGACAAAGTAACTCGGTTCTGACGGCGTTGTCAGCCGATAGATATTCAGAAATATCCATTCAACATTCGAAGCACTGTATCGAATTTAGAAAGTCATTGAAAAAAGATAAGAAAGGCATCGAAAATAAAATACAATCACTTGCAATACGATAATGAATCATAATTATGATTCGTGACTAATGTAATAAACTGCGATCTGCAACAAGCGAACTTTGATATATATTTTTTATGATCTATCTTTCGGTCCTTAAAGACCAGAACCGTAACTGAGATACTCCGCATATTCAGCAAGTGAGCTACTCAGCGACAGCGTCAATCAAATGCTTATTCTTTTAACCAACTACTTCAATATAAAACGGGAAAGTAGTTGAGCCTTCCGCTAAATCTTGCTTCGTATATTCTTTCTCCTCTCGTATGTTGTTCAAATCTGCAGAACCAGAAAGCTAATGGAGTGTCAGTAGAGATTTTAAAAAATCTATAGGCCAACACCACAAATATAGCAATAGTCTATTAAGACATAGTTTTTAGTAAATGAGTAAAAAACTAACAACACACAAACAACAGAGATTGGTAAAAATATACTCTTGTAAAGTTTTGCTCAATTAAACTAAACCAGCCGGTTTTGTTGGACGACTTTTTAAAGAAAATAATAAGTTAATAAAAAAGAAAATAGATCTGGCATCTTACTAGAATACCCTCTACTTGCTTTGAGATCAACGTCAAATTATTAATAATTATTAAATATTTTTTATTAATAATATCATAATAAAAGTTGTTTTATTTTTCTAGAAGACATCTATTTCTTATAAGATGAGAGTATGTGGACCGCGTGGCACTAATGAAATAGTAGAAGATAATATTATGATGCAAAGATGAGAGTATGTGGACCGCTTTCGCCCGGAATAACCTCGTTCCCAAGCACTACAACTTACCTATATTATCTTCTACTATTTCTTATAAGCTGGAGTTTGTATTATCGAAGTATTACACCGATCCTTATTATGAACCAAAAATTTAATTAATTTCTCTAGCATTATTAGGAACTTTTCCGTCGTTAATATGTTATTCTCTTTTCACTTTTTTTAAATCTTATAAATTATTTTTTTTCTTCTATCGGTGTACAAAATAATAATCATTTTCTCTATCCCTCTATCAATATACGACTGACTTTTTTTCCGAGACTTACTTCTCAAACTAAAAAATAATCTTTCATCGTATTCGAAAATAAAAGCCTATTCTAGCCGTAGTTTACATCATGAATTCATTTTTTTTTTTAGCGAAAACTGTTTAAATTATGGTACAAGAATTTGAGCAACAAGCAAGAAAGTAGCACAACGAAAAGTCTTTCTATTGACCCCTCAAAGTGACTTTTATTCTACATTTTGTAGCGCCTACTCAACCATAAAACCCCAAGACAATATTGTCATYGTGCTCAAGACCTCATGCACTTTATCATTTTTCTTGCGCTCGATCAGTCACCATAAATCCAAAAATCTAGCTCTTCTCAGGGAAAAAAACAAAAAAGGTGGAGTAGGAACTTGAAACTTGAGGAAGGTATTTTTCTAATCCCCATGCAGTTATAGCTTATTTTTTGAAGAAATACAAAGGTACTGAGCTCGAGATGGATGGAAAGTTCTGGAAATCCATTGTGCGACCTAGTTAATGTTCCATGGCTTTCGCGGAAGTTTTACAGTATTTAAAGCCGTCATTTTAATGGAATATTCGTTCGCTTACTCGCTCGTTAGAGCACCACTCCAAATCTAATCTATAAATAGAGCTGTTCAAGTAAAATAGGGTCACGTGTTTCTACAGATTGGCTTAACTGATATACAATTATCCCTGTTTATGTGATTACCAAATGAATTAGAAATATTGGTTGATGAAACAGCCCGAGACACGCAACTCGAACCATTTGAAAAGCAGCCAGCTGATCACCTGATCCCTTGCCCGTTGTGAGACTGTGAAGCCATTATCAAGACCTTGTGCTAAGATATAATAAATTGCTTGCGTGTCAATATCCAACAGTTTTCTTCTCAATTCCCGAAGGAAATGAGCCTTTTTGGTGCCTAATGACTAATATATGTATACACTCGGTTCGTTTAAAACAAATTCACTGAGTTAGTTGTTTATCTGTATTCTAATATTGCAAACAGTTTTTAATTATTTCTATCTGCGTCGTTAATTGTCCATTAACTAATGTTCTCGTTTTTTATCGCGATGATCAAATTTATGCCCCTACGTTTTTCACTCTGTCGCACACGCAATGATCGAAACTGACCTTAGCTCTGGGGAAAGGGTGCACTTTGGCTAGCTTGTCTTGATAGGGATTTATCGCGGAGATCCGCCCCAGGCCATTCAAACTGTAAAATAGCATACCCTATTCAAGACATTTCGTTGTAAATCATAGCCTGGTCTCAGTCTCTAAGTGTCGAAAACGTTATCTCAATATATAGTGCATGCATGCACTTATATATCCAAGATTGACGAACCTGTTCAAGACATTATCACTTAAACAGTATCACTCCAAGTACAAAATCACGAAAAACCATACCCTATACAGCAGTACATTCCCGTCATGGGCTTGTATATGAAAGTATCCCCCGGGAGTCCCGAACATGTGTCTTAAATTTGAGATAGTGTTTTTGTTGCATCAGTTAATTTTCATTGATAAGCATGCTAGCTCCTATATTACAAATTGCCGTTTGATCACGTCGAGCTGCGCCACTGTTGTACTCGAGGTGATGATTAGCGATTAACTCGCTTTTTTTAATGCAGTCTTGATGTAGAAGCTGTGCATAGTTCTGTTCAATGAATCAGTTGGTTTTCTTTTATTCTCTTGTGATTAATTCGATATCTCTCACCCCCTCCCTCCCTCTCCCTCCTGTCCTTTCCCTCTCACCTCCTCCGCTTCCTAGTTATCCTTAACTTAACCAAATTTTGGCTAATTGGGATTCACCATAACTTTTGATACAATAAGCTTTATGCATCTAGGCCTTTTCTAAGTACGACAAATAAGGCAAAGCACAACCACCATTCTATATCCCATACCTTAGAAAATTTCAGCACATGATCAGAAGCCGAATGCATGAAATATATATACCAAAATGAATAAACAAGATGACTCTCCTAAGATCTGATTAACTGCCGTTTTTTCTTAGTTGTGGGATAAAATGAATTTTACACCAAATTGAAAAACGTTGGGTTAAAAATCCTCAATCATCGAAGCTAATACCGAAGGGTGTTCTGGGTAAACAGGTACTGATTCTAATATGCAGTTTTGCAGCTCTCGAACAATAATTCAACCAAACAAAGTATTTTCTCCCACTTCATGAATGTGTCTAGCTGTACGCAAACACTCAGGATGCCCAGGATGTCGACTACCCATGGATAATATCCGTTGGTCTTAGCTTCGTTGGTTTAAACTTTCTTAACCCGACGTTTTACCTCGATTTTTGTTGTATTTTAGAGTATGTTAATCATTCATACTCATTTTTGAAAAAATTGAGAGAAAAAAAAACAGTTTTAACCATTCCGAGGTTGAGGGGGGAAATGGGTCGAGTTGACATTGCAGTAAATTGGGGGACTTTCTTAGGGTACATTGGAAATGTGTTTCCTAAAACAGCCCAAACAAGTATCATTGTTACTATCATCATCATCATCATCATCATCATCATCATCATCATCATCACCATCATCTTCATTCAACATCATTATCGTTACTATCATCATCATCATCATCATCATCATCATCGTTATTATTATTATTGCATAATTTTTTCCTCTCTGTCATTTCAATCCACAATAACTAGCGGGACGAACCTAGGCTTTGTTATACAGTTTAGCGGTTTTGCTTCATAGTTCTTTCTTAGGTCAAGTAATTATAAAATGTCTTAACATTGTCCACGTTCTGACTGGTGATCCATTTCTGGCATCT